CCCCTCTTATTAGAAACCCTTTTCTCCCTTCTATCTCTTTTCATCCAATATTATTATACTGTAGGGAAGGTTACCGACTTACCGCTTAGCTGTTTGAAAACTCAAAGTCTTTGTCATCGTCAGTATGCCTGCATACTTAATTTATATATATAGGCCTCACATGCTGTATGATTGTTTTCTATTAAGTTCTGACTCTGTTGTGTCGATATAATAATGCAACATGGCTTATATTTTGCATAAATTAAAAACGAATAGGAAGAAAATACTCAAATTGAGAATAATTTTAATCAGTTTTTGAGAGTGAAACTAATAAAAATATCATATATTGAGCAATTGAATTATTGTTCATATGCATTGATTGATATATACATATCACAACGTGTGTGTATTATAATTATATATCATGACGTGTGTGTATTATAATCTCAGATAGGCTGCAAATATACATATATATTAATCTCAGATAGGCTGCACACATGCATATATATATATTAATATATACATATCATAGCGTGTGTGTATTATAATTATATAATATATACATATCATATGTATTAATATACATGTGTGTGTATTATAATTATAAAATTAATGAGATAGAATGTTAAACTTTTTATCATATTTCCTAATTTTTTTTAGTTTTATCATAATTTTTTTATCACATGTAAGTGAGGTAATTGGTTTTTTTGAAATTGATAAATTAAGAAATAATAATTTTGATATAAATATTGTAATAAAAGAATAAAGTAGTCTATATATATAGATAAGAGTATATTTGTTAATTTATAATTACCTCCCCTTATGAACCAAACAAGAAATCTCCCTTCCCTTCCCCTCTCTTCCAACCAAACAAAACCCGTGACCTCTCTTTCCCTCATTTTCCCTTTTTTTAATTAACCTCCCCTCCCCTCCGTTGAACCAAACAAAGCCTTATGGAGACTTGTATAGAGTTCATTTTGTTACGAAAAAGGATTCAGAAGAGGATTCGGCAACATTTCAGGCCAAATACCTCTTTCGTTCTATTTGTGGCTCCGTGGATAAAACTGAAAATCTAGAATCAAATGGAACGGAACGGAACCGAGGAATCAAGCCTAATTTTGCTATGGAACTGAACTTTCTGCTCCAATTAGAATTCTACTTTCCCTCTTTGCAGAATGAAACTAGACGAAGATTGAGCAGAAAAGTGATCGTTATAGTGTCCAGCACCATCTGTTTGCGTGATCTTTCTCCGAAAGATTCTTAAAAATAAGGATAAACAAAATGGATTCATACCTTTGCATGGAATCGTCAGACCAGCAGTGCTCGACATTGTGGTGAAATCTGCAGATGAAGCATGCGAGTACGAATTAGGAGAATATCTCCTCGAAATAATGCTCCTAAGCGGCCGTACACAACTCGTTAGCTTCCGAGTATGATACATCTGTCTAATATACATATGCCAAGGGCAAACTATGTGATTTTCGTTTTCACAATCTGTCACCCTTCAATCATTATCTTTATACATAACACAATAAAAACAACAGCTTATAATTTTCTAAGGAAACAGGTTTTTGGACCCCATGACCAGTGAATAATGCTCGCTAGGTCTATAGATGCAGCCAAATGAGAGTTTCAATATCAAGAGGAAGTTGCAGAGATTCAGTGTCTGGTTTTTTGAGTCAAAAATTAAATGAATGAGACGCCCATGGATGGATGACACCGGCTTCTGGGGATGGAATCACGCCAAGAATAATAGAATTGGTAGTAAAATGCCAATCATCTCAACTTGGTTTGAAAGCAACGAATCAATGCTATGAGTTTGCTTGTTTCATTAAACTATGGTCTCTCTCTCTCAAAAAAAAAAAAAATCTATAGTTCATCCTTTGATGATATGCAATTTTTTTTTTTTTCCTGTTTCGATGCTAATGACAACAAATTTTGAGAAGATATATTAAGATTGGCTAATGTAAATCAATTGGGTTTTTTGATCTTGGTAAATCAACTGGGTTGGCTTCCTTGGACATACTACTTTCAGTATTTAATATAAGAGTTAGTTTGATATTTAATTTAGTTTTAAATATAAGATTCTAATTCACTTTATCCGTTTCTTTTTAAAATAGTTCTCACAGTAAGTTGTACATTTTAAAGATTTTATCAAATGATAGTTCTACTTAATATATATTACCTTCGGTCCTAATTATAAGATCTCGTTTCATCAAACGAGGTCTTATAATTAGGATTGGAGGTAGTATGATTAGTAAGGATATTTCAGGAAAGACAATATCTATTTACTATCTCCGGTCCTTAGTATAAGATCTCATTTGACTTTTATTTTAGTTCTAGATATAAGACCCCAATCCATTTTGTCTCTCATACTTGTTCATTTTTTCCCCAGATAGCCCTTCTAATAATGGTAGTTCTAACCAATAAACTTGATTAGTAAAAATATTTTAGAAAAAACAGCACTTATTTATTATATATAACTAATTTAACTTATTTTTTTAATCTGCTCAAATTAGTCAACTTACTCTTATATTTAAGACTAGAGGGAGTATTACAAATAACTAACTTAACTAATTTTCTTAATTTACTTAAATCAATTAACTAACTCTTATATTAAGGGTAAAAATACAATATTAAGCTTGGTTTTGCATGAGTCATTTTTCGAGCATTATTCTGGCCGGAAAAGAAAAATTGGAGCATTACATCTTTAGTTTTAGTGGTTCGACTCTATCAAGCCGAAGTTGTTTGGCAGATGCCAGTCTTTAGTCTCCTTAGGGTTTGTTTGGTTGGAGGGGAGGGAAATGAACCCCTTCCCTCATTTGGTTAAAATTTTAGAAGGGAGGAAAGCCAAAATGTTCCCTCCCCTCTCTCCCTCCCATTTTAGCTCTACTTCAAATTAGAGGTTTTTGGATGGGAACTAAATTTTTGAACAATTATACCCTTATGGTTTTTTTAATATTTCACTACTACCCATAAAATATATTATTATAATATTTATTTTATTAAAATACATTATCCTAACTAAAAAATAAAAAATATAAATTATTATAAAAAATTATTTAAAAAAATTATAATATTATAAAATTAATTTTTTTATAAGTATATTATTTATTAAAATATTTTAAAGCTGAAAAAAAGGATAGCCTAAAAAGAATAAAATTTCATTTTTCTTAGAGTATAAAATTTGTTAATTTGATTATTTTAAATATATTATTATATTAATTAGAATAAAAAATTACTGTACCAATTTTTTAATGCACATATTAACATGATAAGACTGAATTTTCATTAAATTATATAATTTAAATTAAGATGTAAATTAATTTTTATAATATATCAATAAAAAATATAAACTAATATGTAAGGGTAAAATAATAAATTGATTATTACCATCCCTCTCCTCCTCTTCTTGAACTAAATAAAGAATCATTAAATATCTTCCCCTCCCTTCCTTTTTAATCAAACCAAATAAGGTGAAGATAAAACCTCCCCTCCCCTCCCCTCAAATCATACAGGCCCTTAGAGCTGTCTCCCACAACACAGCATACCCTCTCACATTAATTCGCAACGATGGTCTTGCTCATGCTATTGGAAAGTTTTGTATTTTTCAGTTATGTATACTTAACTTTATGTATTTTCATTCTTTTATATAATATAATTGACATTGTTATTTAAAAAAAAAAAAAAAGGCTGGCCACGTTCATATGAAGCTTTCTCAGTGACAATTTCATTAATGCACAACACTTGATCTTGATATTTTAATTAAAAGAAAGAACTAAACCAGTTGTCATGGTTTCTTTGATAATAATCTTATGAATGGGATGTACTAACAATGGAAACTGAAAATAAATCGTTGATGTAAAGAAAAAAATTAACTACAAAAAATTACAATATAAAAAAAAAAGATTGTCTTGAACATTAAATTAAAATTTTTAACGTAATTTTTTATAATTAATTAATTAATTGAATTTAATACATATTCCTTTTACTATGAGCACATCTAATTTTTAGAACAGAGACTGATTTGAATTGAATGCAATTTCTGTAATCAAAATCTACGGCAAGAAGTCCATGTTCGGCTTAAAAGCGTGTGGAAAAGAAAATATACAATTACATGCAAAAGAGGACATTGACGTGGGGAAAAAAATAAAAAAAGAAAAAAAAGGAGGACATTGACTTTCGTTTTTTTTATTTTTTATTTCTATTCTGCTCGACTCTTGCTACGCGCAACAGGTTATTCATGTTCATGATTTGACGTAATAAGTATTAGCCCCTAAAATAATACTACCCCCTCCACGGCTTAATGTAGAAGAAGCTGATTGATATAAAAACTGGTTAAAAAATTAAATTTGATTTTAGATATAAAATCTAAATCTATTTTATTTCATATTTTTCTTAATGTTTTTATTGATTGCAAGAGATTTCCACCAAGATATGATTTCAACATACATAATTAAGGAAGACAGTTTACTGAAATCAATATATATCTATTATAAATAATTCATTTAACTATTTTTTTTAAATTAATTAATTATTTTTTATATTAAGCACCAGAAATAATATTTTGATTAAAAGCATGGTGACCAGTCTTAGCAGAAAACGTTCTTTCTTCCTATCCATGAAATTTATTCATGGGTACAAAACAGTTATTGATATTTAATTTCATCCTAGATAGAAGTATTCGAACTTCAATTGTATTTTTATTCTTTTGTCGCCAAGGAAGACTAATAGAAGTAGCACGAGTGATTGATGGTTCACAGTTTTTCTATTTTTTTAATATAATCCCACACCATAAATATTCTAAAATAATTTGGGTCCTTAAGTTGAATTTCATTATAAATATAAGATTTCAACATGTTTTATCTCTCATATTTATCATTTTTTCTCAAAACTAACTCAACTTATAAATTACTATATAATATAATGTTGGTTGTGAGAAATTTGCACAATCACCTCTAAATTTTCTTAGAACAAACATGAGAAACAGGTAATACCAACCCAACCAGTCATGTGTCACGTTCAGACAACCCAGCTCAACTCACTCCAACTCCATGAATACAAGCGACAATACAACCGGTGCAAAAGCCAAAGAAATAGATAAATAAAGATCCCAGGACTATATGCCCATGACACAAATCTTACTCACAAGGTTTCTGAATTCTAATGAAGGTTCTAACACAATCACATATACATCTGGTACTGCTCAATTTATTGGATATGCGCCAAAATGGTGTAGCGAAACAAATGCATGATCTCAATTTATACAAGAAAAATGTATGAATCACTATGTTCCTAACGTAACTCGAATCTTATTCCACAGATTTACATGTAGAAAAGGAACCAACTATTATGGCAGAGCCCTAATAGTGCTGCATGCAATCAATTCAAATTCATTGACGACCCTTCTTAAGAGATAGGAAGTGTGCAGCGAAGGAATCATAGTCGGGCAGCTTAGGATGAACGTGACTAGCCGCCGCCTTATCATTAGAGGGAGCATCTCTATCAGTACTTGGAGAACCTGAAGCCTCTGCGTTATCTGGTGTCACCGTTCTAGGTAAAGGATGGGAAGGTTGCACCTTCGCAGATGGCCTTGTAACTTCATCTAAGGACTTGCGAGAATCTGGGATTGGTTTAAATGCTGCTTTTTCTGCTGATCCATGCTCAGGGTTTGCCACATTATCAGAGGTCACCATCCTGGAAGAGGCCATTTTCTGTTTTTCACTGTCGTTATAAGCTCTTGAAGATTTCCATACGAGTCCTGAGCCAGACGCTGAAGGAGCCTCCTTGGAGGTTGAACTTGCACCAGATTTTGAAGAAGTTGCTGTCCTTCTAGGAAATCCACTAGCAGGGCGTGCACGACTGTCTGAATTTTGTCTGGGAACTTCATCCTCAGAATAACTACTATCAGAATCAAAGTAAGTATACGAGACCTTGGATCTTGATTTCTTCCTTGCTTCACTTTCCTCTGGCTTTTGAATGTGAGGGTCTTGAGTATCAGTCCTGTCTTCATGCGACTTCGGATCAGGGTTGAAACTATCAGAATCCAATGTTTTCTGTTCTCTCACCATACTTCTCCTTCCACTACTCACCTTACTCTTATATGCATCCCGATGAGCATCGGAGTTCACTGACGTCCTCCGAGAAGGAAAAGATCCTTCATCCTGCACTGGAATGTCCTCCAAGGATGAAGAACCCTTATTTGAGCTTTTAAGATATGGTGGCCGCCTGATACCTTTATTGCGAAACCCACCCTTCAGTGATCCGTAGTTTAATTCCTTACCACTTTCTTCTATAAGAGATTCGTCTGAAGTATGAGGTGACTTTGATGAGAGGACGCTTGTCTTGAAATTTGAACTCAACGAAGAACTTACTTCAGAAGATGGCCTGTTGGTTGGCAGTTCATCATAACTGTAATTCTTTCCTGGCACACTAGTGATGTCTATCTTTCCCTTAAAATTCTCTTCCACTGTATCTAAATCAGCTAAAGATGAAGATAGTCCAAGCTTTCTGTCAGAATCAACATTTTTATCATACAATGATGAGGACTCTAAGGCCTCATGGTTTGCACTCCGACCAGGGAAAGAATTTCCATGATTGTAACTCTCGGTAACGTTAGACTTGACCATATCCTCCTCACTATCTGAACTTGGACCATCTGAATCATCAAAAGTCACAGGTGGCAAGTCTTCTTTCCCAGAAGAAACGGCAGACTTTCTCAAGCTTTCAGAAACCTCAGAAAAATGTGACTGTGAACTTAAGCCTGTCTCTTTCCCCTCAACGACTTGTCCAGGGCTCCAAGCATTGGTATTAGCTAATGGATCTGCATGTGATTTGTTATCAAGAGATGAGAAGAACGAACCAGATCCCTCTTCCACATGCGTCTTATCCAAAAATTTATAATCATCATCCTCTGATGCTGAATCATCAAAAACAACAGGCGTATCATCATGAGAAGTCGTTTCCATATATATGCTATGAATGTTTCCTTCATCAGTAACAGAAAGGTCTCCCACAGGACTGTTGTTTATCTTAGGATCATTCGACTTGAAAACATCATTACGATTATCACTTGTCATACTAAAGTGAGAACCAGAAGGGGAAGCATTTCTAGATTGCCTATCCATCCTTCCACCTCCAAAGAGATCATAGTTCTTCATTCCAGTATCCATATCAGCATGCTGTTCACTGACTACATCTACTTCAGTTCCACTCGCCCCTTTTTCCATGCTCACTTCGTATAGGTAGTCACTACTTTCTTGCCTAAACAAACTATTTTCAGGATATAAATTTGCCATTTTAGAATCCACAGCAAACGGGTTATCATCATTAAAAGGACCTCTAGATGTGAAGGAAGTAGACTGGGGACGTTTCAGCACATTCTCATGAATATCCCTGTAATATTCATCAGGCGCTCTTACTGGTCTATCCTGTTCTTTTCTGTTAATTTCCTCATTATGCATTGCCAAGCTACTACTGCGAACGATGTTATCAGCAGAACCAGTAGAAATATGAATTTCATCGTGAAAAGGAGGATAAGGTAATTCATTACTCTTGCGTGATATATGTGATCCAGTTGAATACTGCCTGCTGGTCTTTTCATGGTTTGATTGTTCTGGAGCTGCACTAGCAGTCATGCCTGAACGTTCTGTAGGAAGATGTTTGTCATCATGAAATAAAAATTCTTGAGGAACTTCATGTCTTAAACCACTTCCAGAAGAACTCTGTGATCCACCTGAATACTGCCTATTGATCCTATCACGGTTTGAGAGTTCTGCAGCAGCCCGAGCAGCCATACTTGCACGCTCTGCAGATTCTGCAGCTGCCTGCGCAGCAGAGGCAGCATCTTTAAATTCCATGTTCCAATTTATATTATCCGTAGGGGCACCCCTTCTGTTTTCATAATAAGCTGCAGAATCCATTTCTTGATTTCCAGTTCCTGTTAGACAGGTCCCCACAAATCCATGCAATGGACAGGATATAAGTCCCAAAATAGAGCATATTATCATCATCTTCGAACAAAATAGATGACATAAAGTAACTGAAAAAGTTACCTGAAGATCTAATCCCTGGACTAGTGGTCCCTGATGTTGTTGACTTACCGCCACCAACCATTTTCTCGGCATCATTTGTGGCCTCAACTAAATTTGTAGGCGTATTTTGCATTTTTTCATATTCAGAGAAACCACGTAAATTAGGAGGTCCCATTTCATCACGAACAAGTGGAACATGAACTTGAGGAGGTTCCACGTAGTTACCCTTCTCATAAGCATTTGTCCCAACCTTGAAAGATCAATAATGTCATATAACACAGCATGACGTTTCCATAATGATACAAAATCAACTAATCATCCATGCTTGACAAAGCCTACCTGTGAACCTTGAGAAAGCTTTACATCACTTTCTCCGAAAGACTTGGGTTCCCACTTTATATTATGTTCCTCTGCAATTGCAGTCAGTATTTTCATCTTAGTTGGACCATCAGGTGCTTTGGCAGACAGTTTCTCGACCAACTGAAAAGACAAAATCAAGTGAAAACAAAATTAACAATAAATAAGCTTAAAATTAGTCCTTGTTGCAAATTTTTAAGAAGGAAGAGGAACTTGCCAGACGATTTACACCACAGTCAGGGCGTAATTCAACAGCTGCTGAGATGAATTCTTTTCCATACTTAGCTGTAATATGCTTTCGCACATCCATGAGCTCAGGTATATCTGAACATCGTGGTGATGCAAATATTACACTTGATATTGCCTCCTTCAGATCGATGGGACAGTTTCTGAGGGAGAAAACAAAGTGAGCCACCTCAAACAACTACAAACTAGATTCTCAGTCGCAAATTCAACAGTGTCAAGCAAAATACACAAGCAGTTAATCCTTAAGGCAAGCGCAAGGTCATAGCATATGGTAAAATATATACACAAAAGCATGCGTGGAAAAAATTACATGAATGCGAGATAATACTGAATTGAACATGATGACAAATAATGAAGCACCGCATTACAGAAACCAGAACAAGTAAAGCCAAAAGGTTTCAGTGGACCTATTCACTGGTATACCAGATGCAGATTTTCTGCATGAAGAATAATCGTAAGGCTGATAAAGAAGCTTCAAGGATGAAGCCTTGCAGATCAATGCGCTATCTACACTGCATCCTTCCTTCAAGACGAAAGTGAACTTCTTAACCTATCATCATCCACCACCTCCCTATAAGAAAGGTTGTGGCTGATATTGCTTATATTTTTCACACAAATTCAGATTCTCCAGAAATGAGGTGTTAACATGATCAATAAGATGGCAAAGACATAGTTCCACGTTTTGTCAAGTTGACTTGCCTGCTCGCTATTCAAATCCTAGTCTGACTACAACTTGTCCTCAGCCCCACTATAACTTTTACTCTTTCATAGAGTTCCAAAAACTACGATCATACATTTCCTTGACAAAGCATGACATGTGAGATATAGAAGAAAATTTTGTTTTGTTGGCTAAATTACCCATGTATTTTAATATAAACACCAAGGCAGACCAGCCCAAAAATTGAAAAGGTGATATTGACTAAACAGGAAAAACATACAGTAAACATTAAAAGCAATTTCATGATGTTGACAAAGTAGAATGCACCAAAATTATTTGGACGAGTTTCAGATCACATACTTCTGTGATTCAATCATTGGCAAGCGAGCTGCAATCAGCTCACAGTATATTTCTATAAGATCATATGCGGCCATTGTCTTCTCTTCCCTAACAACATGTTCAACCTGAATGAACAATGAAATAAAAGTCAAGGGTCACAAAAAAAGCATCACAGAAAGAGGAAGAAAAAGTTTTGCCAGTAACCATATTACAAGCACAACTCAAGCAACTGGAGTATTCTATAATTTTTCAGTCATTTTAGAATCTGGTTGTACTGTTTCGATCCATTTCTGAGGCACTTAAATTGCCACAAGCATGTGGCATTTCGATTTTAAGGCGTCACATCAGTGGTTTGGAAATTTATCTTCATCCAGTGGGATAAATAATTGAGTGAAGATTGAGTGGTTTTTTTCACTATAATCGTGGTACCAGTCCATAACGATCAAAGTCGAATCAAACCCCAGTTTAAAGACAAAATGAACTTGAGCAATAGGGTTATTTTATACCGACATAAGCGATGACGCTGTTTTTAAGGACAATTATGGATTTCTCTTATCTATATTATTACCCGGATTCTAGCAGTCTGGTCCTGCCCAGACTCGAGCAATTGGGCTAATTCCCTCTTGTGTTGCTTCACCAGCGCTTCTCTTCTATTCTTCAAAAGCTTTATTCTTGAAACCGCGAGTTTTAACGCTGTTTTGCTGTAAGGAAGTTCAAAATACAAACATATTGTTATTTTCAGTAGAAAAACCATCTCCATCAAGAAAAATTACAAGATTATCAATTGCAACACTAAACCGGAAAGTTAATTTCAAATCAGTATACTGCACAGAGACAACGACAAACACTAATTAGATTTCTAGGCGAACATGGAATCTGCTATCAGCGAATTCTACCACAAGTCAATCACTAAAGGATCATATCAGCCTACTGAAATCGCCGAACGGCATAATAAATCGGTGTGGGCAAGACAAGATTGATTATTACCATTTCGCGGGCTTAAAGCTTCGATGTAACATATTTGCTACGTAATCGGAGAGAAGACTCTGATTCTGCTTCAATCAAAAGGATTGGATACGGAGCAGTTGTGCAGTTATGGAATAAGGGTACTTTCTAGCCGCGAAAACGTCAAAGAAACGGCTTTTTGGTTGATGAAATTAGTTGTTGAGGAGGAGGAAGACAACAACAAAATTGGATCTTATAGTCTTACAGGTTAAGAAAAGAGAGAATAAGCAACAGTTATTGGAACTTCGTGGCAATTCGGATCAAAGAAGCGAAGAAACCCAGGCGGCCCACATGGCCATGGGAACCACGAGGGACGGAAGCCGAAGCTGACTTTCTCTCTCTTCGGAAAGTTCCTTCCTCCAATGAATCTCTCCCTCTCTCTCTCTCTCTCTCGTGAAAGGAACTTCGATAAGCGCTAAAAACACGCCATCGCAACAAAAGAGAGGAATTAATTTTTTTGACCAGAAGAGGAGAATTAATTAGTATTTACTCCGCCGGTTCTAAACTACTCCTCCGGTATTTAATATAAAACTTATTTAATTAATTTGATTAGATTAAAAAAGTTAGTTAAATTGGTTAATTATAAAAAATGTGACACATTTTTTTTAAAATACCATAATCATCTTTCTTAATACCCCATCTTCTTCTTCTACTTGATTATGGTTGAGAGAATATTCATAAGGATAATTTAGAGAAAATTGATAAATATGAGAAATGGGTCTTATATTTAGAATCAAAACTAACTCAACAATTGGGTCATATATTAAGGACCGGAAAAGTACTACTGAGCCATAATTCATTTCTAAAAATTTAAAAATATTAGTTAAATTAATTATTTATAAAATAACATTTTCCTAATCCTAGGTATAAGACTCATTTTATGGTAAAAGATTTACACAACAGAATAAGTTTTATGTTTAGAACCAGAACAGTAGCCAAATATCCAATTTTTGGCCATCATGTAAGCAGATTTTCATAAAAGTAATCTTTTTAATCATTTGAATTGATTCAGCTCAACAAAAAATATTTGAATTGAAAAATATTAGTATTCATGATGAAAATAAAAATGTTTAATATATATAATTAATAGAAAAGGTTTTAAAAAAATTATAAATTTGAGAGATAAAATAAATTAAAATTTTATAACTTGTGTAATTAAAATAAGGGGTTGCTCTCAATAATAATTTAGTAATATAGCCAAGATAAGTCTCTCTTCTGGCTTGCTTTGCGCAGTGAGCTAGTGATGGGGCTGTTTAAATAACTTATAAATAATTTTTTAATAATAATTATGAAATATTAAATAAGTGCGTAAAATTCTTTAAGAAATAGATAGATGATTGTGGGGCATTGCTGCCGTGCGTGGCCTGTTGCAATTACGGTGTACGAGGAAAGATGTGAAAGGACTTTTTCCAGTGTAAAAGTACATCTAAAGAAACAAATCGCAATGTTCAACTTTTGCTCCTTTTTGTGGTTTCTCCAGACCATGAGAATTATCTTGAGTGAGAGTGTCTCCTGAGTTTGTTCATGCGGTTAAAAGGTTTAACCTGTTCATCACAATATTTATGAGTCTAACATGTTTCTAAGAAAGTACTCCTTCCTTCCGTACTTATTAGAAGAGATATTTGATGCTTATGGCATGTTTCCATATATAAGAGACATTTAAAAGTTGTCTCTATTTTTTTGTATTGATTTCTTATTTTACTCCTATTTATTTTGTCTCCAACTCATGCTCTCTCTCCTTCCCACTTCTCTTTCTTTTAATAATTTAATTGTTCTCTCTCATACTCTCTCTCCTTATTAATAGGGGCATTGTTGGACAAAACATTATACTTTTTACACATTAATTGTCCTTAACTAATTTTAACTGTTTTTTATCAACGTAATTTAGTTATTTGTCTCTTATAATGAGGAACGGAGGGAGTATATAATAGTCGATATTACCTGCTTAAGTTTGCCCCAAAAAGGAAGTGAATCTCATGATGTGCATTGGGTAACAACGATATAGGGGGTGTTGGGATTGCAACCAAACCATGATTTCAGAAGTGATTTTACGGTCTACGAAGTAAATATATGGAAGAGTTTATCTTGGGTGTTTCCAAACACCCTCATAGTTAGAACTTGAACGTGATTGAGATTATTGATTAGGAATCATTATTTAGTTGCTTACTAAACATATATGCCTTTTCCTCTCTTACATTCCACCCGTCGAAGAATTTGAAAGAATAACAGCTCAAAACAATCTCTTAATAATTTGAAGACTCCGCTTTACTTTGTTCGAATTCTTCATGACTATACATATAAGCTCAGATTTTCAGGGGACAATTCAGAATCTGCTCCCAACTTATTTTGCATATGACGATGGGCCAGTGAAAATTGAAGCCTTGTCCGATTCAACATTTTGAGAAAGCAACACGGGCTAACATTCATGACCAAACATGATCAATACTTCCAAACCCAGAAAGGAAACATTCCATGAAACTTCTCCATTTCTTTATCATCCACTTCCCTAATATCCTGAACCTTTTCATCAAACCTGCGGCTGAAAACTGGCAAACGCACCTTTACAACACGCACTACAAGAATTCTCCCTCTGATCCGCTTTTTATTTCACGCACACTACAGGAATTCATCAAATCTCTTTTTAAAAGGAGATCTAGTTAACATTGAAAGAAAAACAAGGGAAAATAATAAATAAGAAGACTGACAGAGGAACAGATGAAATTAAACTAAAAAAGCCATCAAGTTTTACTAGCTTAGTCACTTTTTGGTGTTTTTATTTCTGTTTTAGATATGGCAGAACTGGCATGTATACGTTTGGAAGCCCTAGCATCATTGTGTGCAGTCCAGACGCTTGCCGGAAAGTGCTCACGATGACGACCGATTCGAGATTGCATACCCCACCTCTACCATCGCCCTCATCACCGGCAAGAGATCTTTCCACAGCATTTCCGCTGCCGAGCACAAGCGCCTCCGCCGCCTCACCACCGCTCCCATTACCCGCCACGAGGTTTTGTCTTCCTACATTACGATCTCATCGAAGACATGACCGTTAAATTGTTGCAAGAACTGAGTAGCATCCAAATGCCGGTTGAGTTACGTTGTTGACTGAACTGAGTAAGCTAAGTTTGCCTTTGCCGTCATCACCAACATCTTCTTCGGCTTCGACATTGATTCCGTCGACCTTGGCCTCGTCGAAAAATCGTGCACCGACCTTAATCGAGGAATGAAGTCCCTCGCCATTAACTTCCAGGCTTGGCTTGCCACAAGGCTCTCAAGGTTAACCAGCTACACATCGCTCTCTCTCTCTCTCTCTCTCTCTCTCTCTGTGTGTCTCTGTGCACACACACACCTTCTCTATTGTCGAACTTTTTGGAGCTTGTCAGGCAAGAAAGAAGTTGACGAAGATGCTGCTAGGTTTGCTGGAGAAGAAGAGAAGGAGCTTCAAGAGAGAGACAACAAAGAAAGATATGATGGATTTTTAATGGAGGTGAAAGATGAAGTTGGAAGGCAATTAGAGGACGAAGACATAACAGAATTAATTCTCCCGTTCTCGTTAGCTGGTCACGAAAGTACGGCTCACTCTTTAACGTGGATCCTCATCTACCTCTCTCAACACCCACACCTCTTCGAAAAGGCTAAGGTTCGACTCTTGTATATATATGACATACATCATCGTACCTCAGTATCATATGACCAACATTAATTACAATGTTAGTTTTCGGTATTGCATCCTTGCTGGTAAAAAGGGTGGGACCTTTCGGATTCTCTGAAACTCTCCACTTGAAGATGCGGCAGAGGTTTTGTAAAGTTGGATACAGCCGCCTTAAGGCTCCTTCTTAGTTTGCTGACTAGGGTTGGGGTTTTTTGTGCAGGCTATGTTCTTCAGGGTTTTTGTTTTGTGTGCTTTTTTCTGGATAGCCTACTTTGTTTTAGTATCTTTTATTTTATTTGAAACCCCCCCTTTTTTACGGTAAAAAGGGGGTCAAGTTTAGAATTTTTTTTATCATTATGAAAATAGTGCGTTTTGCTCTCTAGGCCACCTTCCCCAAACCACAACAATTACTTTCTATTATCTGCCTATTTGGATGGGCGTTTTGTGGGCTAAAATGAGGTTTAAGTAGTTGATAAGTTCCATTGGTTATGTAAAGGTGTTTGGGACAGCTTTTGGGTTATCCCACTTCAGTTCCAAATCGCTGATTAGACAATGCGTTTTAATAAGTTGCAAGGGAGGAGCTTTTTAAAATTGCATCGTGCTTATACTGGATTGTTGGGAAATTATTTTCTTGTCAGATTTATTTTTATTCCTGCCTTTCCTCATTTAAATTCATTGTAGATTTGTAGTATGTCAATTCATTTTTTTTATTATGTTTTACTTTATATTTAAAAATATTTTTTATGATTTCTCTATAGTTTTCAAATTTATTTTGCTCATTAAATTTTACTTCTTCATTATATTGTCTCAATTCATTTTTTTTTCATGTTTCACATTATATTTACAATATTTTTTTATGATTTTTATGAAGTTTTAAAATTTAATTCACTCGTTCAATTTGACTTCTTTATATTAAATTATTTTAATTTCATTTTATTATGTAAAATCATTTTTATTAACCATGTTTCGTTATTTATTAAAACTCATACCCATTTTGATAATTTTACAACTAAACTTATTTTTACTCAATCATAATCCAAACAAACAACTTTTTACCAATCTCACTTTTACAAACTAACTTTTTTAAATTCCAATCCAAATACAATTCAGCTTATCCAATTTAAGTTTTATCCAACTTCACTTTTCCAATAAGCTACTTTTCCAGTCACTAATCCAAACAGACTCTATGTTAAGGATTTGATTAATAATGCGTAAATTATAGATTAAAAGTTTCATTTTTCTCTCAACTAACAACCAAAAAATTACATAAATTTCCACATAAAATTAAAGCAAGTTTTATGTTGCACAAAGGGCAAGAGGAGATCACAGGACGAAAATGTATGTTCGTGGAAGGAAAGGGCTAAGTCTTAAGGATATTGGAAAAATGGAATATCTTTCGAAGCTATTTGCATGAAGAATCTTAACCACCACCACCACCTTCTTCTTCAATTCTAGTGAACATATTTCCAAAACTTCAATGCTTACCGGTTTTTTTATTAACTAATTGATCCGCAATATTAAAGACCAATCTTTTTATTCTTTTTGAAATCTAGGTTGCACCATTCCCGAAAGATGGAAAATTGTGGTTTGGAATAGAGGTGCATATATGGATCCTGAGAATTACGTCAACCCCGAGGAATTTGATCCTTCCAGACGGGAAGTATGTACGTTTATACTTCTACGTCTGTTAGATTTAATTTTTTGAATTGGTTTGTTTTTCCACCAGAAATTGGTTTGTTCATATTTATATTTTTAAGATTTGTCCAAACAATAAATATATTTTTACTAACTTTATTCTTAATTGATATACTCTTTATCATTGTCTTTTTTTTCATATATTCTTCCCTATTTTTTTCTCACTCATACCTATCCACTTATAAATAAAAACATATGTGAAAAAAAAGTACATTTCTAGCATGGTTATTATATTACTTTGAACTAATTTTAACTGTTTTTTTTAACTAAACAATATAGTTAAGTGAATCTTATGATAAGAGAGGGAGTATTATATTAGTGTTAATTCATTATTTATTATTTTGCCCCGAGGGGTATTATTTAGTGATAAATTAATGTGGTGCAGAACTTTAAAGCAAAAGCGGGTTCGTTCCTTCCCTAGACATGAAGTAGACTGTGCCCTGGAAGTCAGCTGGCGTGGATTGAGATCGCTATTTTCCTTCACCACTTTGTTCTCAGTTAACTACAGGTTAATTAATTAAGAGAGGTTGATCTAAGTGGTAAGCGGCTTGGTACTGTTTAAGTGAGGTCTCGAGTTTCTTAGCGTATGCAGAAATCTTCATTGGAAAACTCACCCACCACAGCCAAGTGTGTGACGGGGGTCATCACAGCCAAGTGTAGTCAGAGCAAAATTCTGGTAAATTGGGTGGGTAACAACAACAAAAAAAATTACAGGTTAATTAGCTATTATTCCTCTTACTTTTCATTATATTAGCCACACACACGCATATTACGATTAAGATCCGTCTTCCACGTACTTTATCTTATTACTATTTAAAAATCGTTTTATTTATTACTATCTCATCCTGTCTTTAATATAAAAACTTATTTAATTTTTATTTTAGTCATAAATATAAGGTCCTAATTTACTTTTTTTTTCTCTCATAATTATCTATTTTTTTCAAGATAAATCTTGCAATAATGATAATTCTAACAAATATATTTGATTAGCAATGATATTTTAGAAAAGATAATACTTATTTATTACAAATAACTAATTTAACTAGTTTCCTTAATCTACTCAAATTAGTCAACTAACTCTTATATTAAGAATCGGAGTTGGTATTATACTACTACTTTAGATCCTTGACATAAGAGCTGATTGGTTTTTAATTTGACTCTAAATATCAGGCCCAACTCACTTTGTTTTTCATATTTATCAATTTTTTTAAAGTACTCATTGTAATAACTGTGCTTGTTAAAGATTTCATGAAATAGTAGTTTTAACTAATACATATGATTAGCAAAAATATTCTAAGAAAGATAACATTATTTATTACAAATAATTAACTTAATTTTTTAAACTTTTTTAGATTAGTCAATTAAGTTTTATATTAAGGATGGCAGGTAGTACGATGGATTTTACATATATGGTGCAGGATGGAGAGAATTAACGAGGCATGATCCAATGATCTACCTGCCAGTTCCCAGACCTTCAAGCAGCTGTCTTGCACGAATTATAAAAGGTGACTAGTTACTTATGGCATTAATCTTACGTTAAAGTGTGTGCTTGCGCTCAATAACTGTGATTAATATAATACTCCTATAGTCTTATTTATAAGGCGCTTTTAGCATATTTTATACAGACCAAGAAAAATCTTAAAATGTATTAATTCTTTATTAAAATATAACAATTTTTCAATTTTATCTATACACTATAATAAATGAAGGACAAAATAGTACATTCACTATAAAATTTTAATAAAATGACTTATAGTTATAAATAAGACAAAAAAATTTTCTCTTTCCTATAAATAAGACCAGAGGAGTAACACTCTTGAGGTTAACAACCTCTTTCGGATTCCCCTTCTATCATTTCTCCTCCTCTAACCATAAGATGAAACAGAATGTATTTAATTTAATTTATTTTCTGTTATTTTACACTGTATAAAATAAATATATACGAGAAGTTTTATTTCATAAAGTATAAAAGGTTTTCTTTTTATTTTTTGAGTGACCCAAACAATGTAGTTGCCTAAAACCGTGCCCTTAATGGTCCTCTCATTCAGAAACAGATATAGAGCATACGGATTTTGTCTTAAACACTGCATCAACCCTTGCTCCTCCTATCCCTACATTGATTAAAAACAAATATTATGTGGTTTTTTTTTTATTCAATAGATCATATGATTAATTAGTTATGCCCCTAGTCTGGAATTTTTTAATTGCTATCATATTTTTTGGTGAGTTTTATGAATTTATTTATCAATATATATGCATGGGTATAGTGGATTATCCAAAAAATAAAAGTATTGGATCCGTATCTATCCAATTCAGGTATATAACTATATATCCATCATAGAATTCTAGACACACAAGGACTCACAAAGAGAGCAAGGGCGCAGATGGTCTTTTCCTGTCACCCATTGTCGGAAGTAGCAAGGGAGCACAAAATCGTCGTTTTGATGTCACTCATTGTCGTTTTCACGCAACAGACCTCCTTCTGCACATTTTACCTCTGTAGTGTTCATTTCGGTGGATATCTCTCCCTTCCTATCCTAAACTGGAAATCAAAGTCCGCCCTTTTTGAGTTCAATTTTATATGAGGAGGAGGTAAGCTTCAATTTTTTCACTTTCCACGCTGCTCAGCGTTTTACTGGTTATCCTCCCACAATCCCTATATCCCCTTCTTCGAAGGATCCCACCACCATCCCCCCGCCCCGGCCTGTGTGCTCCGATTCTGTCTGTTATTTTGCACCTTATATAGAAAATGACCCCCCCCCCCCAAACCAAAAATGCCTTATCCTTCCTCTGTTTCGCTGCGAAACAATACCATGATTTGGGAGCTTTCTCCCTTCAGCTGTGTGTTGTTTTCTCCTCCTCTTCTTGATCGTGTTGCTGTGTAGAAGTAGTGTGAGTCTTCTTCCTCCTTCGATGCTGCTGTGTGTGATGGAGGCAAGTGAATGCTCTTGCCTCTATTCCTCTGTTCAGTTTTTGTGTGTGTGTGTGTGTGTATGTGTTGAATTATAAACGTTTTTGCTCTGCTGTGGCTGTTGTTCAGGTTTTTATCGGAGTACAATGTTTTGTTTTTGGGACATTAGGGGATTTAGGAGTGAACTGAGCTCAGAGCTGCATAAACTGAAATAAATCATACATTGTGAGCGCGGCAGGTACTGTTATTTGTATTTTGCTATGAATTCTGCAACGTTGAACCTTCACCCACCTTCTCGCATTTCACACTGCAAAACCATACGAGAAATGAAGCAATTTCACGCCCTTTTCATCAAAACAGGTCAAATTCATGACCTTTCATTGGCAACAGAATTCCTTAAGCTATGCGCAACCTCGGATTATCGTGATACTCAGTATGCCCTCTCTGTTTTTGCCCAATTACCTGAACGCAATTGCTTTTCTTGGAACACTATGATCAGAGCACTGGCTGAAAGCGACGATGACTGCGGACCATTGGATGCTTTCTTGTTGTTTTGTCAAATGGTTTCTGATGGAATTGTTGAACCTAATCGCTTTACCTTTCCTTCTGTCTTAAAAGCATGCTCCAGGGTCGCCAGGTTGGTAGAAGGAAAACAGGTTCATGGTTTTGTAATCAAATGTGGATTGGATAGTGATGAATTTGTCATGACTAATCTGCTGAGGATGTATGTAATGTGTGCGAGTATGGAGGATGCCCAGATTTTATTCACTAGGAATATTGATGGGGCTGAAGATATGAACAGGATGGTGAGGTGTAGTAAGAGGAAGCGAGAGGGTAATGTGGTGCTTTGGAATGTGATGATTGACGGATACGTAAGACTAGGAAACATCAAAGCTGCAAGTGAATTGTTTGATAGAATGCATCAAAGAAGTGTGGTTTCATGGAATGTCATGATATCTGCATATGCACAGAATGGGATTTTCTTGAAGGCCATAGACACGTTTCACAAGATGCAAATGGAAGGTGTATCCCCAAACCGTGTGACTTTGGTCAGTGTGCTGCCAGCTATTTCACGCCTTGGAGCGCTTGAATTAGGGAAATGGGTTCATTTATATGCGGAGAAGAATAAGATTCCGATTGATGATGTGCTTGGCTCTGCATTAGTGGATATGTATGCAAAGTGTGGGACCATTGAGAAGGCAATTCAGGTCTTTGAGGGACTCCCTAAACGTAATGTTATAACTTGGAATGCTATAATCGGTGGTCTTGCCATGCATGGTAGAGCCAATGATGCCTTCAATTATTTTTCAAGAATGGAAAGAAGTGGAGTGTCCCCCAGTGATGTTACATGCATTTCAATCTTGAGTGCTTGTAGCCATGCAGGTTTGGTGGACAAGGGCAGATTCTTTTTTAATCATATGGTTGATAAACTTAGATTAGAGCCTAGAATAGAACATTATGGATGCATGGTTGATCTTTTGGGTCGAGCTGGTCTTTTAGAAGAAGCTGAAGAGCTTATACTGAACATGAACATAAGATCAGATGATGTTATTTGGAAGGCCTTGCTTGGTGCTTGTAAGATGCATAAAAATATTGAGATAGGTAGGCGAGCAGCTGAGGTTTTAAAGCATTTGGCTCCTCATGATAGCGGGGCATATGTGGCTCTTTCAAACATGTATGCTGCAGTAGAAGATTGGGATGCAGTTGCAGAGGTGAGGTTGATGATGAAAGACTTGGATATAAGGAAAGATCCTGGATGTAGTTGGATTGAGATTGGTGGAGTGATTCATGAGTTCGTTGTTGAAGATGATTCCCACCCTAGAGCCAAAGAAATACAATCAATGTTAGAGGAAATTTCCCACAAGTTGAGTTTGGAAGGCCACAGGCCAGACACTACACAAATCTTGCTTAACATGGATGAAAAACAAAAAGAAAGTTTGCTGCACTACCATAGTGAGAAGATTGCAGTGGCCTTTGGCATAATTAGCACATCGCCAAAAACACCCCTTAAGGTTGTAAAAAACTTGCGCATTTGCGAAGATTGTCATTCATCGATGAAGTTGATCTCAAAAATTTATGAGCGCAAGATAACTATTAGGGACAGGAAGCGCTTTCATCATTTTGAGCATGGTTCATGCTCTTGTAGGGATTACTGGTAGTCTGCATTTTTCCCACATTGGGCAGGTACATATGTATGTGTTTATTGTCCTAAATATAAATAATTGACTTTTTTTTTTACCTGAATATTTGACTTGTTTTTGAAAAATAAAGCATATGAATTATTGGAGTTATTGGAATTGATCTGCACATTGACAGTTGTCTTTCGCTGCTTAAGAATCGGAAATGTTGGATGGGTGAAACTATAGCAGTATATAGCTCCAAATATAACTTATTGGTATGGCTTTTTTCTTGCTAACAAAAAATTTAGATGAGTGAAGTCTCAGGCTTTCATCAAGGCTTGTAAGCTCATGACTCAAAGGTCCTATTTGCTATAAAGCATTAAAAATAAAGAATAGGGACTAAGATTGCAATTGAAAAAAATCATTAAAAAAGTCTTTAGCATGGGTAATTACGTGTTATATGGAATTACATAAACTCATGAAAGTAGGATTGGGGATTACCACTTTTTTCTATGGTATTCCTCAATCCCTCATATATGGGTTTGTCTAATTTCATATAATAAATAATCTCTTATTCTAAATACTATTTTCTCAATCTCAATCTCAATTCTTATTCCTCATTTTTAATACTTCGTAGCAAACGGGTATCAAAAAATGCTAATAAGAGTAACACTCACAAATTGCCCATAAACGAGCAATCAGTAAGTGACATGGTCTCGAATTAGCGTTTGTGAATTATTGATTGTAGTCAATAGAATGTGGGCATTGACAAGGATCTTGGACTTGGATGCAGCAACAATAATCATTGTTCCTTAATTTCTTAGCAACGTGGTGCAGCCTATTAGCACAGTTGCAAGTATTGTTAACAGTGTTCCATTTTAAAACTTGATGGTGAAATGTGTACAAGTTAACTGCTCTGTGATAGCCAGGTCTGCATAGTTACATACAGTGATCAGTACAATGGGCTTTTGCTTCAGATGGTACGCAGTGACTTTTGTTCACCCTTCATCACCCATGGGATGAGCACAACAAATCGGAAAAATGGACTGGGCTAGGCACGTGAAAGTTGAAAGCGACAGTTTTGTTAGAATGGGCCGAAAAAGGTATCATGAGCTTATACAAAAAGTGAAGATGACATCCTAGGGTGTCTCATCTTTCCTCAAGCATCTGTCAATCAATATCAATATATAAATATAAAATCTATATAAACTGTTTTGGCTCATTTCTTAAACTCTTATGTGTTGCAGGAGATATATCCAAGCTCTCTCTTGCCTACTCATCTGGCTTTGAAGAAGAAAATCAATTGACAAAAAGGTGAGAAAAATTGGTCATTGATTAATACACAAACGAACTTTGTTAAGTGACAGCCATATCAAACGATTTGAGTATTCAGAAGTTTGTTGGTGAAGGATGATGAAGTTAGAAGAATTGACACGCTACAATCAATAAAGAGATAATTTCCCACCAACTGTATTTCTCACTTTGATTGAGATTTCAGCAATTTTTTTTTTAATGGAAACTTGGTGAACTTGTAATCTCTTTTTGGACTAACATGATGTAACCTCAGAATTAGAAATAAAACAAAAATTGATTACTTTTGACTGTTCAAGTGCATCACCTACTCAAAACTCAAGTTGAAGATTGAATAGCTCAAGTGGGTTCGTTAATAAAGATTGCGCATTAATTAAACATAATAATTAAGAAATAAAAAAGCAAAAGAGAAAAAGAAAGCAACAAGGGGTGTCATTGATGACTACTGTTTTCATTATGGAAAAAAAGTTATATATGTTCCCACCATGCTCAACAGCTTTCTTCTCAAATTCCAAAAGTGTCTATTTGGTTCTCTCAGCTTCAAAATCTTGTTTCAAATAACGATATTGCTGAAAAAAGACCCTTATCATTAGGTAAAATTTTCCAGAAACATTGTATCTTGAAGTCAAGATTTGGTAAACTAAACCCATGTTAATTTATTTTTAAAGACCAGAGATACAATTAAAATTTCAACAATTTATGTCTATTTTCTTTTTTCCACTTTTTGGGGAGTGGGGTATGTTTCTCTTTTTCCTTATAAGACAAATTCCAACTTTTTCAGCAAGCACCATATAAAATACAATAACATTGATGAGCTCACAAGAAGTAAAGTAAATAAACATCTCAAACTGAAAAGCAATTATATATGAATATATATGAGATATTTTAAAGAGTCCAAGAAAACGTTTCCGACTGTTTCTAACCAATAATCATAAGGAAAAATGACCCAAAAAAAAGTTAAAAATTACTAAATGTTAAATAAGGAATGCCAACAAAAATTTGATGTCATTTGCAAATTCAGTGTTGTTAACACTAAATAAAATATTGTTATCAAAACTGATTTAAGATTTAGTAATTTTCAACTTTTTTTTGGTCATTTTCTCTAATCATAAACCTTTTTTAATTTATATATAGACTGGCATAATGAGACAAATATATATATATATATATAGACACAATTCTTTTTTTTTTTTAATTTTTCGTCCATTAAATCCTAATCATCTTGAAGGCTTCATCTTTACTGTTCATTGGCATTCTGGGGAAGCACGAAAACATGATCATTTAGAGCTTTGGTAACTTTAAGAATTGACTTGACTCTTCTAATGGTAAAAAAAAATTGAAATAAAAACACCTTACACAAATCATATCCTCTTTAAAAGGAATTGTTTAGAATATGTCAATAGCTTTAATACAATTTTTTTTTTTTTATAGTCCAAACTATACTCATATGTTATCAAATTTTTCTATTTATGTTGTTGTTTTATACATGACATTTTAAAATTATAATTAAGGATAAAGAGACAATATTAACCCTGATCTTATTTTTCATTTATAATTTTATCTCTGATTTTTTCAGCATAAATTTTATCCCTAATCATTCTTTATAAAAATAAAATTGTACCTGAAAAATAATATTGTAGTTAAAATTTCATCTTTACCCAAATAATTTATATAAGAGCGTGTATTCTCAAATAGAAAGACACATAAATATGACATAAACACTAAGAAATCGAGTTTTATATATCTGTATAAACATGATTTAATCATCATGCACTAAATTAATTAGCACACGGTCAAACAATATAAAAAAAAAAGGATGGGCACTAATTAATAATAGATTATGAAAAAAAATTGGAGAATAATAAAAGAGAATAATGGCGAAGAGGAGCGTGAGATTGAACAGTGAAAGGATAACAATGATGTGTGGATGTCATAATCAAATAGAATGAGTGCTATGTCCCCCCCCTTCCTTAAAGTCGAGGTTGATTACCACTCTTACTCTTTTGATTCTGGCCAAAAAATAATTAATACTCTTTTAATTTTATTTATAAAATATTTTCAATATATCTTGTACAGATTAGGAAAAATCTTAAAATTAATAACTCTCGATTAAAATATAATAATTTTTTCAACTTTATTCATATTTAATATATAAACTTTTTAAAAGAGATAATTTCCTAATCCATAATAAATAAAAAACAAAATAACACATTTATATTAAAAGTTTAATAAAATGACTTATACATAAGGAAAACAAATTTTATATTTACCCTGTAAATAAGGCAAGAGGAGTAGATATTATTGCACGCAGTCCCCTTTTTTTTCAAAAGAAATTCTGGCAAATATTATTGCATGCAAATCTAAACCAATCGATGTGTTTATATCTACTTGCCTCCACTTTTGATGCGTGGACCCTCTTATGTTGATTCATTACTCGCCGCTGTCTATCCTAAATATAAAAACTAAATAATTAATTTTTAAAAATTAATAAAATCACGTAAGTAAATCATTTATAAAAAAAAGTATATATTGATTTCCCTTAAGTGTCTATTTTAATCATTTGGTTAGGTAACTATTTTTCCAGTGAAAAGCCTATTTAAAAATTGAAAAAAAAAAGCGTATAGGCAGCAAACTTTGACTATTTGTTTTTCTTTTTTTAAAATTTTTGAAGTGCATGGAAAAATAGAGTTTTAAATTTCCATAATCATAAACATCTTGATCAACTCAAGGATGTGCAAAAATAATTAATATGTGTATCTGTATGCATGTCTATGCATGTACTTTTATATCATTAGGCAACACAACAATCACAAGATATAATGTTCAGGGGAGAAGTGTTGTATTTGATCACAAGACTTTAAGGTTATTATTTATTTATGAGTTAAGATACATTTAACACTTTTAAATATTAATATTTAATATCATAAACTAATTTATAATTCATTTAAAGTGTATTTTTAGTAACACTCTAAATTTTAAAATCTTATTTAATAATATTTTATCCATATAGTATCATAAAATATTATTTGAGTTGCATTCACTATCGTAGGTTTGAAATATTATTATTGTTAAGAAAAATGCTTTAAGAATAAAATTGCATAAAAATCCTCCAGAACATCTGGTTCAAGTGTTACTAAAAACATATTTTAATATACTTTTTTTAGGTACACATATTTTCTTATTAAAAACCATCATATATCAGATATTATATTGGGTATTAAATATGAACATCTCGTTTAATAAACATTCAAACTTTGGCTCTTAATAACGTGTGAGCAACTGTTCTTTCGAGGATTGTCAAACTCATTACATCTTAGCCTTTCATTTAGTGGTTGAAAATATAAATACTTATAAGAAAAGTGGGGGAGAGACTCACTGGAAGAATAGGTGGTACTTGCCCTATGTGAACAGAGCTCTCCAAGGCTCTTCTTTTTGTTCAACATAGCCATCCCATCATTGCTTCTTATTTTTGCATTCAGTCCTCCAAGCATGTGGCCCCCTTGATACACTACGCCACTAATCTTAACCTTTTCATAAAAATAAAAAAATAAAAATAAAACAAAAATATTTCATATGAAAACAAATACTCCTCCAATTCTTAGTATAAACTTTATTATTAAGTTGATTTTAATTTTAAATATAAGATTTATTTTTCACATTTATCAATTTTTTTTAAATGATCCTTATGGATACTTTCTCAACCATAAACATGTCATATTTTTTATGCT